AGAGAGTGGGGTTGAGCCCCGTTTTCACGTCCATAATTAATACGATGCTAAGCCCACCAACAACAAAGGTGACAGCGCAATCTCTAACCCCCTTGGCACGGGTGTACCCATCTGTAGCGTATCTTGCGTTGATCTATTGTAGCTGTCGATCAAGTTGAACCCCAATAGCATCAGGTTGAAGTCAATCGACACAAAGAACACGTCATGGGCACCAATTCAAAGACGAGGCGGCAACCGAGGGTGCCATTGGAGGAGCTACCATAGGATGTCAGTTGGATGGTGTTGGGATGCATTGTTGGTTTGCAGGGCTGATTTGATTGCGTGCTTCCTTTTTTTTTGTTTTTGGGTTTTCATTGAAAGAGTGCGACACTGTGAATCAAACAAAGGTAGGCTTAGGAGAGTTCACATCTCCTCCCCACAAGGGGCCGCCCCACAACACATCCCCGCCATGTATTGGGAACATCTCCTGATGATAATACTAAAACCGATGATGTCATCATTGGGAGATGTTCTCAATACATGGCGAGGATGTGCTATCAGACATTGTGGGGATGAGATGTGATCTCGGCTTAGGATGGTGAAGATGTGATCATGGAGCTCCACCACTGCCATACTTAAAAAGGGAGAGTAGAGGATGGGAAAGCAGGCATGAACCAACATATGATGATATCAGAAAGGAATCATAGTGAGCAGGGGTTGATTGATTCCATGATTCCATATAGAGATACAATGTTCTATGTAGAATGTGATGAAAGCAGGGAAGAGGGAGGAGGATGTGAATGAAACAAAGAGATGTGTGAATGGTCATAGAGAGACGAATGACAAAGAACCTCTCAATTTGCATATCCTCTTTGTATTTTGTGACTGATGAGGCCGTATTCCTCTCTTAGCACTTCTAGATAGGCTTCGCATGCACGCACAACCCCGGTAAAAGTTTCACATATTTCAACAAAAAAGTTATGCTTGTTTAAGAAACTTGGTTTCCCAAACGATCAAACGTTTAGGTTGTGTTTGGTTTGAAGGAAAAAGTAGAGAAATGTAGGGAAATTTATACAAAGTTTGTAAAGATTTCCTTACCTTTTTCTTATTTTCCCTACTTTTTCCTCTAAACCAAACATAGCCTAAAGGTATTAGCTTGCACAGTATTAGTAGGGGTTAGTGCTTTCTTGGGAGTCTAAGAGGTGTTTCAAAGCGGTAAAAGAAGCTACGTGGAATTATGTAGAAATTATAAAATACAAAATCTCAAAAAGGACAAAAAAAAGAATGGTGCCTCATCACACCATTACGTTTAAGTATATAGATATAGATGTTATTTGTTTGTTGACCAAGCTTTTTCCCATGTTTTCAACAAAGGGTTTTGAGTTGAAACGTACCCATAAATTTGTCCTTGCATATGATGCACATTAATCCCTCCACATCTCCCTTAATTTCTTGACATCAATGATTAACTATTAGGTTTTCTCTTCAATTTGTGTACCTTCTCTGGATTGATGACTTCTATCAATAGCAAGATGTTAATGTCCCTTGCCATTTCTCAAGTGTCCTTGATCATTGGGTCGATCTTCCATGGAATGGTTAATACATTGTCTTGATTCAGTCTACTGAGAAGCTTAGATTATTAATCAGCCATTCAATTGGTAAACAGTGGAGGCATTCCACCACATTGCAGATTTTGGACTATCTCTACAGCTCATAGAGCCAAGTCAGTAATTCTCTATAGAATAATGAAAGGTACCTCTCGAAGGCACACATTTCGGACACACGCATGCACGTCAGGTACCGTAGTCTTTTTCATGTGCTTCGACTATCTATTCTCTGCAACCCATTTGCTACTTCCGTGAGACTGTAATCTTCTAATGTGGTACATAAATCTCATTTCATTTAGGGCAAGAAACTGTCCCTTGCTACTTTTAGTTCTTTTGGTAAAAGTTTTATAGAAGTTCAACATCTGGACCTCAACACGGAATAAAGCCTCGATAGAGGAAAGTAAGTTAGTACTCCAAAGACGCATTTTTAAGATGGCTAGTTATGGTTGATGCATTGATTCAATACCAATTAGGTTTTAAGAGAGAGTTGCAATAAAAAAGAAAATAGAGAAAGTTTAATGGGGTATTTTGGTAATTTAACAGTTTTATCATCTTACTTAACGACTGACAGGGTATTTGTCATAATGTAAAAGTTTAGGGAAGTCTTTGTTGCAAATTAAAGTATAGGGGAGTCTTCACCACGGACCCTATAATACAAGGAGAGTCTTTCTAATTTACCCAAAAGAAAAAACGTTATCACATGATTGTCATGTCCTTGTTAAACTTTATGAATTCCCAAATTACACCTTCCTTAATTTATCGGGCTATTTTGCTCATTCTCTTGCATAATTGTATAAAACCTTGTGTTTGCTAAAGTTCCGCTTATTTGTCATCCAAAGTCGGTGAGGAAGAAATAATGTGGTTTGCCTTACCTATTTTTGCTATTTTGAAACTATTTTTCACCTATATATGAATTTTGAATGTATATTTTAGTAAATTAATTTCTTTCATCAATCCCATTTGGCGTGTCTTTTCGCGCAGTCTTTTGGTTGTTTACAAGTTAGGCAAACTGATTTTTGGTCTATTATCGTTTGGTTCGCGGAAAATCTAGCCGCCAAAACCGGACTGCCAAAAAGACGCGAGAAACCCATTTTGGGAAGCTCCAAATGAAGCTTTTCATGTATTTCACATTTTATTCTCGCACAAAAAGACACGGAAAGGCATGTATCTACCAAACTAGATTCGGTCTGCTCAGATATTCATGCAAAATCTCAAATGCGTCTTTTGATTGTTAGAGCTACCAGAATATCCTTCCAAAAAGACTTGCCAAACAGGCCCCTAATTAATAGGAATGGGCAAAATGTTGGAATATGAAAGTTTAGGGCTCAGGGGTATTTAATGTAGGGTAAATTACAAAGACCCCCCTGTACTTTGTTTTGTGACAAAGACACCCCTATACTATAACCGTAAGACAAAGACCCCATTCCGTTAGCCTTTCGTTGAAGTCTGCCGTTGCAATATTTTTTAATCCCCATACTACCCTTGTAATAACTATTCGGACAATTAGGAGAAAAACACTGTTCATCTTCATTGACCTCACGAACAACATCGGTGGTAATCCCCTCTACCTCAAATTCCTTCACGTTTCTCTCTCTCTCTCTCCCCCCCACCCCTACCCCAATCTCTCTTCTTCCCCTTCCACTTCCCGTTTCTCTCCTCGCCTTTCTTCCTCCCGCTTTCCTCTGTTTTCTGTTCCTCTCGGTCATAGCCGCCACAACTCGTTGCAACGGCTAATTTGGGCATGCCCCCCTCCTTTGGCTTATTCTCTCCCTCTGTTCCTTCTTCTTCCTCTTCTTTTTTTTTTCTTCATTTTCTTTTGCCCCCTCTTCTTGTCCGTGACATTAGAAATCATCGACTACCTCTGTTTTTCAATCTTGAAAGAGATTACACTGAATCTCGGGTGAAGCATATGAAAAAACAATGTAGGGCCCTAATTGTTCAGGATTTGAGTGGGATGACATCAACAAATGCATTACATGTAAGGAATAAGTCTGGGTTAAGGTAATTGTGGATTATTGTATTTTATATTTTACACAAATGTATATATATCTATTTTACATGGCGTCCAATTTATTAGTATATTTTTGTTTTGATAAATGTAGAGCCATCCATATGCCAAATGATTAAGGAACATGCATTTTCCATTTCTCGATGAACTTTCTATCATCTTTGGAAGAGACTGAGCCACTGGGGAGCATGCAAAAACCCATTGTGATGCTGTAGAAGTTGTTGATAGGGAAGAAAAATCAAGTTACCAACCCATGGAAGATGAACCAATTAATGAAGGAGAAGTTCAACAAGTTGGATTAGAGTTTTTTCAAGATGATAACATGACTTCACAATTTGCCACACAACCACCATCCACTCAACCTCCAATAGGTACCTCATCAACTTCTTGTCCGCATAGAGCGAGTAAGAGCTCAAAGAGCTGCGTGGATGATGACCCGTTGGTTAAGGTGATTTTAGAAAATATAGATAGGGTTAAACAATGATTTGTCGAATACAATGATAAGGTTGCACAACTGATAGATGCGTTGAATGTGGATAAGGAGGGTTGGGAGATGAGAATGAAAATGTTTGAAGAAATAAGGAAAATCCCAAGTTTAATTTTAATTGAGATGATCAAAGTGAGTAAAAAGTTAACTAGTGACATAGAGAGGTTGAATACTTTTTTAGCCAACCTGACTTTAGAAATGCATACAATTTCTCTTATACCCTCTTTGATTAGTTGATTAATAACTCAATAGAACAATAGTTATCTTTTTTTTTTTGTTTTTGTATTTTGATTATCAGAGAAATGTAATTAATGAATAGAAAACAAACATATGTTATATTTTTTTCTTTTTTTTTTGTTTTTAACATAGCAAGTTCAACTTATTGATTTGATAGGATAAACCTGTAGTTTGTTTTTAATTTAGATCTTTCTATGATTAGTGTGGTATTAAGAAAACCTTCAAAAAGGGTAATATTAGCAATAATGATTGATTGGATTCTTTTTTATATGGCATGGACCTATTACACAGGTATATAAAACAAAACACCGGCAAAAAAATTCATTTGGGCAAAAGGGTAATTTTGGCAATAGAAAAACAAATTAGCCTCTTACCAAATAAAGTTGGTGAGACAAAAGATCATAAGTAAATTGGAACGTGAAATTTACCTTGGTAAGTTTGAACTAAAAGAACATGGGTAAATAAACTTTGCTTCGTAAAACGTGGGTAAGTGAATTTAACTAGGTAAGGCTTCAATGTAAGTGTGCAAATAAAACCTCGAGGACTAAATATCACTACCAGCAAAATAAAGGGTGGTAACATGCAATTTATCCTTATTATTATTTTGAAATTGTCACATGCAACGCACGTGAACAAAAAATGTTTATAAATGCGTACTGAAGGTTAGGGGCCTTTTAGTCTAGACAATCGATTCTATCCGTCCAACCTGTGTTCGTCGTCTCTGTGAGCGTTCCCTCCTGCTAAAGGTGAGTCTCAACTCTCAAACCCTAAAAACGCGAGAGAGGCCTTAGCTCTTCATCTTCCGTGCGTATGCTTGGATTTTTGTCAGTTTCTTCTCTATCCATGCATATTTGTTTGCTTTTTATATCAGTCTACCCAGGATTCAAGATTTTATCTTTCGTTCTCTTTTAGAACTTTGTATCTATTAGCTGAATATATTACTGGACTAGGGTTTGACATGTATATGGGTTTGTCCTTTTTTTCCCCAAATTCTCGATTACTCTTGCAGGGTTTTTGATAACAGGTGCCGCAGCAAAATAGACTGCTATTGTTCATCCGAGTTGGAATAATCCGATTTGCCCCGTTGTGTCTCTCTTCTCATTTTGCAAATTTATGATATATTTTTTAGCTAGATTTTAATCCCGTAGGGGGTTCATTCGATTATTATTGTTATTGTTTTTAAACATCATTTCTATTCGTAATTGTTTATATCTATTTGAGTAATTCTGTAATTAGGCGTTTTATGAATTATGTAGCTACTTTCGTAGCAATCCATACATATTAAAACATAATTTTGGTCCACGATACTTTTTGTATGTCGTAATTTTTTTTGGTCATTTTATGTCATCGGTGTTTCATTATAAATTTATTCATGTTTACTTTAGAATGGTCTCAGGAAGAATGAGTGGTCATTCGAGTAGAACCATTTACGTTGGCAACCTCCCTGGAGATATTCGTGAGAGAGAAATAGAAGATCTTTTTTATAAGGTAAATTTAGATTTATACGGCACCTTTTGGTTCCTACTTATTGATTTATACTATTTTTTTTT